ATCTCTCCCTACTGCTTTGATCGATGCACTGAAGAACTTCAAACATACATGCACTCAAACTTTGCTGAAATTGGCTTTAAATGTCAATGCAACAGGCTTGTTTTAATATGTAAGACGAGGGGTAACGGTTCTAGACATGTGAAGTTATGTTTAGTATTAAGGACAAGAGATAATAATTAACACATGACCCTAGAATTTCCATCTGTAGTAAAACTAACTTACCTCTGAACCCGCATAACAGTATCAAAGTCATTACTTTTTAGACGGTAAGGTTTTTGGTAAAATTCTCGGTGACGGACGATTCAATCATCCCAGTTCCGCAGAATCTCATTATGAAGGATGCGTTTCCGGTAAGTGACGGTTACGGTACTGGGGCAGTTCGTTATGCAGTGAAATATTTTGTGTAGGGGAAGGTGTCGTCGCACGCTCTCAAGGTGTTCAGCACTTGTCGAGAGAAACTTCGCATTCAGAACGTGTTCCTTATACCTGACAGTCTCGGCTTCAAGTTCAAAACGGTATCCAGGCACAATGACACAGAAATCAAGCAACTTCAGTTCACGACGGTAAGCATATCGGAACCTGAATGTTAACTCATCCTCTGTGAATGTGTCCACGAAATGAGGGTGCGGATTGCTTAGTCGTCTAAGAAGGAATTCTGAGCATTGGCTGGAGTATGGCAGATGTTTAGCTTGCAGCCTTAAAGAAAACCTTGCCATTTCGCGTAGGTTCAGTGAGCTTTTTTGATCAATGTTATCATATAGGTCTTGGAAGACTTCTGTTTTCTTATGTATGGCATTCGTATTTCTTTCTCATTCTCCAGTCTCTTGGTCATCTTTTCTGTTATTGCGGTCCCACCCCTGTTATCTCGTTATCAACGTATTCCGCATGTTGTTCTTCATTTTGTCAGCATACATTCATCTGTGTTTGTTTCTTCGGTATGCAGCTGTTCCTCATTGCAGTTTTACGTATCCTGGTATTCAGCTTCGTCCAGCAGTAGAGATGTAATTATCATTTTGTATGCCTTTCAAATCCTTGTGAAAATCTGCGTATATGATACATTTTTCGAGGCATTTCGATACCTATTGTTTCCTTGTGCCGTATAATCTTGCATACTTTATCTAATAAAAAAGTGCTGTTTTAGTTAGGCCGAGTGTATTTCTCCCCGTCTGATCTTTGTACGCCGGAAAACTGCTACGTGGGATTGCCTTTGTCTTCGAAAGGTAATATTATGGGATCAGTTCTATTGTGTGTTAAGCAGTTAATAACGCCAAATGGAGTTGTACCTTATACTGATTATAGTCAGCTTTCAAATGAGGTGCAGCCATGAGGGGCTCTCGCATCAGACATCATGGCAGTACATATCCTCAATTCTAGTATGACCACACTGGAATTCCATGCTGTTCCTTTACTAACGGGTCAGTGACTTTCAACCCATTTCTCAGTTAGCTGCACCAGGGCAAAGTGGTGTAAATTTTTTCCTGAAGCGAGTTCGTGATTAGCACAAGCATTATCTTATCAGTGCATCCAATCCTGACACTCCAGGTATTGGAAGCCCGACCTCCTTGCCACTCCGCTGCCGCACCCGAAGTTGATAACATCTCTGATGGCGTATCCGCAGATATATATCTGGTTATTTCAAGGGCATAGCGGTAAGTAACCGTCATCGTTTAGTTCCAGAAAATGATAGAACGCGCTGGCGCTGGTTCTTCATAGTTCGTTGCTGTCGAAGCATATACTGTAGAGAAGTCACTTAGTTAATTAATCCTTAGCGCGGTATGCGCTGTGATGAAGATTCTGCCGTTTCTGCTGATGTGACTTTTTGCTCACCTTGTTTTATTTCAGATGGTCAAGCGTGGATCAAAGGATTACGACTTCCTCCGGAGTTGCCGGCCCTCGACTACAGACTTTTTAAGAGTTTTCGTGTTCGATGGAAGGAAAGGATTAAGCGCAACGAGAACAGGTTAGGGAGCACAATTTAGATATTTGTCATTCAGTGCGTTTCGGTTACCATTTATCTGTTTGGTCGCGGGGGCAGGCGCGTTAGATAATATATCCAACATTCCCAATCCCCTGCCAGCGTTTCAGCTTGGCGGAAGACAACCTGAGTTTGGAGCATAGTCCTTTGAGACCCTGTTCCCAGCTCATTGTTGGCAGTACCCGGGGTCTTCGGCCAATCGGTTCAACAAGTAATAGTTATTTCGCCTTCCTTCCTGGAAGCGTTTGCAAGAAGTGCCCGTCGCAGCTGTAACTTGTCAATCTGGATAAGCAGCAGTTGTACAGCAAAGCCTTTTGGGCCATGTCAATACGCGTGAGCCCAGGAATTCTTCTGGCAAAGCTCATTTTAGCCGCTTGTATCCAGGAATGAAGCTTTTCAGTCATATCCAACGACTTATGACCGTAGGTGAGCATTAGGTTGAAGCTCAACTTGAACACAGAGAGCTCAGTCTTCAGGCTCAGCTGTGTTTTGATCATAACGGTTCGGGCAGCTTCGTGCAGGACGCTCCTGGCCATTTTGATTAGCACGTTGTGGCTTCATCAACTAGTTCCAAGTCTGTTCAAGACGATTATTATCCCCATGCTAACCTACGGTTGAGTCGAGGACCGTGACTGAAAAGCTTTGAAATCAGGTACAAGCTGCTAAATGCGCTTTCTTAGACGAATCGCTGGTCTCTGCTTCTCCAGATTGAGAAGTCGCAGCTGCGATGGTTTGGGCATGTGTTCCGAATGTTCTGTAAAGGAAGGCTAAGCAACTGTTTCTTG